CCGTGACTGTGATCACATGGTGGGTGGCTCCTCCTAAAATGTTCTGCAATTGTTATAGGATTTAATGGAACCGAAACCAATTATGGAATTGCACGCATTTTAGGCATCCTACTGATGAACAGTTGCGACACGTAGATATATATTTTTTATCAACTAATATAATTTGCAGTCTGTCTACTTTGAGTCGTATTTGTTTTGGTTTAAGTGCATTATTGTATGGGGTTTGGGCATAGTTAATTGAGTGGAATGGTTATGAAACCCGTCACTCCTTTGTTATATGTTTTTGTGGACCTGAAAGTGCACAACGTTCAAAAGAATTCCTATCATTTTGATTGTATTGACCAATAAAAACGTTGCATTAATTTATTCCGTAACAATTTGCCAACAGAAAACAAAGGATTGTGCACTTTCAGGGTGCTTCCAACATAAACTGCAGCACTGTTGTTTTTATCATTGATGTCTGCCGCTTTTCATAACCAGTCTCCTCTAATAACTATGGTTTGGGTTACTGATTTTTATCTCGTGACGTGTTGGAGTGTTGCGCATTTTACCACCCACGTTCAACCTGTCCTGCAACAAATCAGGTTGTTGCAGGTTGTGAAAAGTTTGGCAACAAAATCTATACTGGCTGGTGTGCGTTTTACTGGCCAAGGCAACCTTGTTTTGCAGCAAGTGACGTACTACGTACCGTGTATACATAGCGTGACTCCCGCGCAATTTTATCCAATTGGAGGTTAGTATTCTCTGTTGACTATCACGCCCTCAAAAACAAAAATTTTCAAACCAGTTAATACAGAAAGTCCAGGATCTGGGGAATAAAAGAAGATGAATATACAAAACGCCTCGCCAAGAATCAGGTCTGTGCGATATTTCATATGCGAGATACTCGAAAAAACGAACCCAAGTACGGAGACGTCATGTTGGTGTCCCCTGGAGAGGCACAAATATGGCCGCCGGAAACCAACAGAAACATCTATTTTTGAGTTTTACTGCAAATGCATCAGTCCATCGCTTAATGAACTCATAAAGATTAAAGTAATATTTATTCTGAGACAAAGAACGATTAGATTGCAAAATCTCAAAAACTCGGTAACGTTATTTTTAACGCAAAAGAGCTTTCTCGGCTGCCAGGTAAGATGCCACGTCATGCAAAAGCCTGGAAATTCAAGCGTCCTCTATCACAAAACGAAGAACAACCCTTTCGAACCAAAAATTCGTAGGAACAAAGGTGTTTAGTTTCTGTAATACTTCATGAAAGTAGAAACACAGGAATGTGGTTTGAATCCTGTGCAGTTATAAATGACAAAAAGAAGGGTGCCTTCGATTGATCGAACTGCAAAATAAGGATACGTTCAGTCTTTACTTTACGAATTTTCCACCGCTTTAAAATTTAGCGGACCCATGCTAACCGTAAGAAAATTAAGACAGCCAGCCAGTCGCCCATTGACTGCTAAAACGGAGGTAGCCTTGGTAGAGTGGAGAATTTGATCTGCTTGTTGTGAACACCTTCAGGAGCTGATTACTTTTCCTGACTTGCGGGGACACGTTGACCGTTTAAATCAGTTCTTAAACATCAAAAATGTGGTTACATTGATTCGTGGGCGTGGCTAGACTGAGAAGAGATAAAGATTGAGAACATGGTTTTGAATAACATGGTTTTGTGGTCATAATTCAGGTGGTCATCTTCTAACCTGATTAGCTGGAAAGCAGCTTAACACGAAGCCGGCGACGGTGTGCTAACGTCGTTTTAAAGACTAAAAAAACGGATACAAAGAAGGCCTTTTCATGAAGGAGTGGCTGTACCGCCAGGCTCAGGAAATTTAAAAAAAAAAGAAAGAAAAATGAAAAAGATAATTTGATTGGGAGACACAGGAAAGAGCATCTCTCCTCATCGTCGGGACAATTTTGTCAATAAATAGGTACATTTAGTGGTGGGGACGTTTTTTTCGTCTATCCAAAAGAAATATTTTTGCCGCAATCAAGCGTGCGTTAAAGTTGATAGAGTAGCTAGCTGCGCATGAGCAATTAGAAAACGGAAAAAAGTTAAATTTCAGCCTGGTTTGTCAGTTCTGAGTGAGAAGCTGGAGCGAAAATGTTGCGCGGTTCATGTAGTGTGAACAAAATGCCCAGTCAGCTCTTTCAACCATGGTCACAAATTCCGGCATAGATCAAAACTGAAAGGAAAACAAAAGAAGAATACCATTTTCAACAACAACAGCAAAAAATTCCGCGTTACATATAACTGATGCGAAGGTGACTGAAAAAGTATCTTAAAATCATGCATTCTTCTGAACCCGCTGTAACAATTACACGCACTCATAAGAAAACAATATTGCCTTCATTTTTTTTCTTCTTGTTTTTTTTTTTCTGTTCGGTAGGTGACCATCTGGAGCAGGTTTGGCCATTTATCTTCGCTATTTGTTACTTCTGGAAAATAGAGTTCAAAGCAAAAATGTATATAAAAGATGACCAACAACAATAAATTAAAAAAGGAAAATTCAGCGAATTAAAATGATCTATGCCACAACTTGAAGCTTCAATACATTCCTCGTCGTGCTTCCACAACCTGGTTTTGTTTCAAATAGACATATTAAAATTACTTTGCATAACTGAAAAGTTTCAGTTTCCCCACTCATATTAAATTAACATATTGCCTTTTTACATTTTCGTTTGGCGTCTGTATCTACGTTTTTGCCATATATTTCTACCCCGTATACCCCGAAAATTTATTTTATTTCCCTGAAAAAGCCATAAACACAAAAAAATTTCAGCTACCGGCCGAGGTTGGTCTGACTCAAATACAGGCACAAAAAAAGTCAGAATATCCGACTCTGAAGGCAAACAGTTTAAACGTTGTTCGATTAAATATTTTGTTGAGTTTATAAAAAGAATACCAACAAAAAGGGTCTTTTTTTGTTAATTAGGACAAGCGGGATCGCTACATTTTCTGGTTACTCTTTCCTGGTCATTTCTGAAGTTGATTGAAATCAACGTTTATGCAACTGTATTGTGATCCCAGAAAGCTGCGCCAGAAGTGACGGGACGAATATCCGTTTTCTTTATCCGCATCCTTTGTGTCGTTTCCTAAAGCAAATAACTTCAATGTTGTTTGATAAGAGGGTCGACGTTCTTGAAGCAAATCAATGTAGTCACCTTCCCCTGGTTCTGGTAAGATCTCGTCGATCGCCGTTTTGCCGTGAATCGCCGACGAAACAGCGCGGATGGTGCTTTCAATAAATGGGTGACTGGACCCATTGCCATAGCTATGATTAGGGAACGGAAAACACGGTAAAAAGCCTTCATGTTGAACGATTCCCGCGATATCATCGAGCCACCCTTGAGAGACAAACTGATTTCTAGCGACAAGCGGACGGTTGTCAATGGGAGGTAGAAATGAGTTGTACTTGACATACCGACGGTCATCTGTCATGGTTTGATGAAGTGAGGTGGGTGATGTTGTAAGTTTTGCTACGCAGTCATCTTTCTCCCACATCAGCCAGAAACCATCGAGTTCGTCGAAAACGTCATCTACATCTCGCAATTTTCCACCTAAATGCATATTATCTGCCATTATATTATTTGCCCAAGCAACCTTGGAATAAACCTCGATTGAAAAGAGCCCCAGTTATGTCACATGACAGGCTTATACTTATTATTTTCAGTAGCTTTGGGGTACCCATAAGTCAAGGGTACATGCAATACCCACCGTTAACTACCGCTCTTAGAGCGATTTTCGTATGACCTTAAATGAAAACGCGCGAACAAAACAAAAACAACAAACGAACGGAAATACAGCGATTTGATTGGTTTATCGAACGGATACAAACGCGCCTGGGTTTTGGTTGGTTAAGCGAACGCTCGGCTGAAAAAACTTCATGCCCGAAGAACTTTCTAGAAATTGCTTTGACGTCATACTGCAACAAGATTGGTCAATCGAACAATGCCTTCTCCATATTAGGGTTTTCTTTGGCGGGCAAACGAGGAGTCCATGTTTTGTTCTTTTCATCCATTGGCTGATAAAACAAATAACAAACACTTACTGAAACCATTTTTCAAGGTCATATGAAAATCGCTCTATCATGATATAAGCCCTGGAACTGGCCCTGCATGGGCTTATACTAACAATCTTTGTAAGGAGTTAGGAGGGATTATAGACGGAGGGGCTTGTATCCAAGGGTGTTTATCACCGAAATAGAAAAACAAAAACGCTTCAAACGAGCTAGAGCAGTTCTGACCAAAAGATATTTTTCTTTTCCTGGTTTTTTAACCATCAAAACGCCTTAACACATCGAATTCGGGGCTTACATCCGAGGGGGCTTAGTATGCAATCGGATGTGTTTTCTTCTTTAGTTTACAATTGGATGGACGTGCAAGTGGGAGAGGGGGGAGGGGGGGCTTATACGCGAGCATTTACTTAGCCGTAACCAGAAAAAAGGCGTTCTGGGGCAGCAAGCCTAGGAATTTCATATTTTACCGTCTGTAAATTCGAAGGCCGTTCCCCAGTTCTCTTGGGTAGGCATTGAGATTAATAAAGAGAAAAGTTCGGTTGCATATACTTTAACCCTTTAAGATAGAAGAGTGACAAAAAAAAAACAATTTTCTTAATCTAACAATATCGCTACATCATAAAAGAGAAAAGGTTTGGAGAAATAATTTTGTTAATTACTCAGGCCACTATCTAATTAAATATGCATATTTCGATAAAATGCTATTTGGAACGGTTTGCTTCGATCAATGATTATGAAAATTGAACTACAAATGTAGCCTAATAGCCTTAGCAATACATTGTACCAGACATTTTAAAAGCCCAATTTTCGTCACTTAACTGATAATTGAGAATTAACGGTAAAAATATTTACTCTAAAAGGGGGAAAGGATAATGAAAGAGCAACAAGTTCTGTTAGGAACATTTCAGAGGCTATTAAAAAGGGGTCTGAAAAATTCACCTTGCTTCTACGTCAATAACAGCACCGCAGGTAGATTCAATTACCACACAGAGCATGTTCATGGTGCCAGGCGAGAATTCCACGGAGACCGATTTAAAAAGACAACATCAAGCCTTGAAAACTGCGTCGGTGAAATCGAGAATGGAAAGTATTGATTCCACTCTACCCTCGGATCTACTGCGGTCAGTTAACCAATCGAGAGACAAGGGCGCGAGCTCATGGCTTACCACAGTGCCTCTTGTCGATCAAGGCTTAGTTCTGAATAAACAAGAATTCAGAGACTCTCTGCGTGTAAGTCATAGTATGCCCCTGTCCGACTTACCAAGCAAGTGTGTTTGTGGTGAGAAGTCTGCCACGCCCTGTCATGCAAAAAGAAAGGGTTCGCGCGTGGCGAAGAGACACCATGATGTTCGCAACCTACTTACCTCACTTATTGGTAAGGTTTGCACCAACATTGAAGTCGAACCTGAACTACAGCCTCTCGATAATGAGCGATTCAGCCTCAAAAGCGCGGCAACAAGCCCGGTGGCAAGACTGGACTTGAAGGCAGGGGACTTTTGGTCTCGTGGAGTTACAGCATATTTCGATGTCAGAGTAACGCATGTTAACTCCAAGTGTAACCAGGGAAAAGCAACATCCACAATCTTTAAGGAGCAGGAGGAGGAGAAAAAGCGGAAGCACCAACAGAGGCTGCTGGACGTTGAAATGGGATCTTTCACTCCCCTAGTTTTTGGAACCAAAGGTGGGATGGGAGCCGACTGCAACTGCTTTCTCAAACGCCTAGCCGAGAAGCTCTAAGAAAAGAACGAGGAACCTTATCACATTACTATTACTTGGTCGGGATTAGGAAGTTGCTTTCTTTTGAGATTTTAAGGTCGGTACACACGTGCGTGTTCCAGGACACCCTTCCACAAAATTCCCCAAGGGGATTTCATTCATGACTGCCGCTTAAACGCTAGCCAAGCGTGTGTCCGCTATTTTAGAAAGTGATAATGGCCTGAGCTTGTAAGATAGTATTTTAGGATCTTTTTAATACTTTTATTTCATCAAAATTTTAGTCTATGGTAGTGGAATGTAAATTGGTCATATGATGACTGCCGCTTAAAAGCTAGCCAAGCGTGTGTCTGCTAATTATAGAAAGTCGATAATGGCGTGAGCTTGTAAATTAGTGTTTTAGGATCTTTTAACATTTTTATTTCATCAAAATCTTAGTTTATGAAAGTGGATTGTAAATTGGTCATACGTTAATAAAGATTTTTATTTGTTATTACTATTATTATTATTATTATTATTTATTCACTTATTTTTTTAACACTCGCATTCAGAACTAGTACATGCACATTTGCTCATCATGCATCTGCTGTGATGGGCTAGGCCTTTTGCAGATAACACAATTAGAACAAAGGTAGAATTAGAATCAGAATTAGAGTTGTCCATCAAATCATCGGTTTTTCAACGAAGTAGTCTTATGTCTACATTCAAGAACTATTTTGCGTGGTAACGCTACTAGCGAGCTCTAGGAACCAAGACGATGATAAGCGAAAAAACAAAAAAACGTTAACGTGCAGATTCCTTGGCCATCATCGCACGACTAACGTTGTCAAAGTGATCGCAATGGAATGGCAATGCAATCGTCGTTTTAATCTCTAAGGTCGTCGCTTCATCGTCGCGACTTCGGATTCGTCGGAAATACCATAAAGTCCATCAGAGAGACTTACTCATTCCTAAACCTCTTAAACATTAGTTTCAAGCATTTTGGTCAAATTATGTAAACCAATGAGTCGCAAAATACAAAAAATGCATTCCAGAGTTAGTGTCCGCTAATAGGGCAAAATCCGGCAAAAGGTTAATTTCCAGAGTAAAGCAATACTAAGGCTCGTCCAAAATTATTTAACAAAAATCATACAGACGTTTCCGCCTTATGGACCGTACTGATCTCATTCTGTCACGTGTTTTTCAAAACGCTCTGTCACGCTTCAGTTTACATGATCTTTTTAAAGAGCTAAAACGTGTTTTTCATAACGCTCTGTCACGCTTTCTACTATCTTTTAAAACGCTAAAACGTTTCTTTGCATCAGTTTAACTCCAAAAATAACGGCACCGTTTTGTCATTTAATACCATAGTTACATGTAGCCTCCCTAATCTTCCTCCGTCATAACAAAGATGGCGGTTACAACATTACAGTACGAACGACAGTCAGTACGAACATAAACAAGCAGCTTTCGCCCGCCCAAAATACGCCTGCACTGCAGGCTAGGATGGGCATGGCCTGAAACATGAACAAGCTAGGGCCATAGTTTTAAACCGATGGTTGTTTGATATCTTCTTCATAACTCTACAGGAGAATTTGGTGTATGGGTTAAGGCACTAGTTAATGACGTAGGCACCAACACAGCAATCAGGGTCGATCGGCAAGGGTTTTTGGGTAGACCGGTCAGGTATATTGGGGTATTTAATTTCAGGTATACAGTATTTTTATGCTTAAAACTGGGTATGAAGTATTCACTCACGACTAAATTTGGGTATAAAGTATACCGTGCTTTTCTTAATTTTGGTATTTTACACGAGTTTTAGTATAATTTTTGGTATATTGGAATGTTTATTTCGGGTATTTTGGTATTCCACTACCCCGATTGGCCGACCCTCAGCAATATCCTCGTAAACCACTTTCCAAAGACAATGAAAAGAAAATGACCATTTTAGGGCTGAGAGAATTAGAGTATCCAGTTGCACTCTGGGACTGTTTAGGGCGGGAACGAACTTGCAAACATTACAGTTCCATCGTGCGATACGAGTGCAACACCTCTCAAAATAGGCAATAAATGAGGTCAAAAGATTATTCTTCCTTATAGTCTGTTACTTTATTTGTTCCAATTCAATATTCCTCAACTGTCTCTCACAAATGGAGACAATATTATTATACGAGATGAATACAAATGTTCGCAGGGATTTGTATAAAATGCCAATTTTAACTTATCTTGGGAGGAGAAGTCTTGCTTTCAATTAAGTGTTTAGAGCGGTTTTCATTTGAGTGTCGAAAAGTAATTGGTTTTGCACTTTCTACACGATGCGATTGGCTTAAAAGATTCGCGCCACCTTTTCATCCAATCAGAAGTAAAACCAAAGCCAATTGTGACGCGCTCGCATGCATTTTCCCGCGCTTTGCGTCAGCCACATGTAATTACTTCGAGTTTTGATTGGTTCAATGTATTGTCTGTGTCCTATGTGATTGG